ACCCTTGGGAAGTGAAAGATAGTTCTGGAAAAATACATCAAATTATTGTCAGATGAATAATGCCCTGCCTTTAACCCACTGTGCACTGATTAGACAGAAACTGAGCAATTCTGTTTTATGGTTTTTCCAGGTTATAGGGATACTACATATTAGAAACTGCACCTAGAGCTGAGGGTTCTCCTATTCCAACTTGAGGTATCCACGGGGGTTTTTAGCTTTTCTGCATACTATGTTTTGGGGGTTTAAATTTGTGTATGTATCTCTAAGTTTTGTTTCCAAATTTAACCAAGTAATGAAGGTTAACAAGTATGGCATTTATAAACTGTGTTGGAAAGATATGCCTTGGTTTAATATGTGTATACTTAATGAAAATAAGCAATTACTGCTTGTTTGCTTTTGCCTAAGTCTATAGAAGACCCCCTCCTCATGGGTATATTTACTAAGCCTGGAATACCCAGGATACAGTTCAGACAGCAAATCCTTACTCCCCAGATAAAAAGCGAGTTACTGTGCAATTTAGCCAGCCATTCAATTTTGCTCCAATATTTGAGAAGGGGACCCTGGGCTCTGTGTTATCTATCCCTGGGGTGGCTGCAGGGCAGCAGTGTGACGTGAAGGTGTGTACAGGTGTGCTGTGGACACAGCAGTGTGGTGGGAAAGAGACCCAATGCCAGAAAACACCATCCCCCGCACTGGTTCCTGCTGGTTCCATGCTCAGCCCATGAAGGTTTCACAACAGTTTCAGCATCCTCCACAGCAAACAAATTTCCCAAGCCTGCTGGACTTTATGACCCCTTGCTTGTGGGAAACACCTCCAGGGAAGGAGTGCTTATCAGGACTTCTCCTTTCTTCAGGATGTTTCAGGGAAGGGTAGAAGCTGCCTACCAGGTGTCTGTGCAGCAGCAGGAGCACTCAGGTGCTCTCTGTAGGGCTTGGGAGGGGGACTGAGGGATGAATGGTTTCCTGAGCCTTCAGTCCTCCTCTGTCTCCCTTTTCCACTTGACTTTTGGAGTCTTACAAATCAGGAGCACTGTTTACTGACTTACATCATAGCTCTTACCTGGGAAGAAGACAGCAGGGGTGATACTCTCCTGTGAGGACAACATTCCTAATCTAAAGGTTAGGCAGGATGGGACTATTGAACCTGAAGTGGCCTGGTGTGTGGCTCCTCAGGCTAAAAGGTTTGGGTCTAGATGGGACTTGGACTGGAGGCTGCAGAGAGCTGCCACATATGGGTACTGCAGTCCACACAGCTGAATCTGGAGCCACAAGAAGGGAAGGAGCTTGGATGCCACTGTGTCACTCCTGCAAAGTTCACTCCATAACTCATACCATCTAGAGGGAATGTGTTGGTTGTCCTCTCCTCCAAGCCCCTTTGAACCCTTCCTTGCAACACTGTGGGGAAGGATGGTGGAGACCATTTTTGCCTGCTGGTATGGATTTTGGAGCTGCCCCTTGCCACACAAGGAAGGAGCTGGGAGGTTCTTTTGGGTGAGCTGTTACACACAGGAAAGAAGTGAACAAGCTGGTCACACTTCCTTGGCCAGCTGGGAAGATGTTTGTCCTATCTCATGTCTACAGCAGCACGCCTAAGGGCTGTGTTTCGTAGTTCCTCCACTGGGAGCCCACCAAGGAGGCTGGGACTTGCTTTTATTTCCTGGAATCCCTAGTAAGAAGTGCACATATGGAAGTTTTTTCCTAGGATCAAAGTCTTCTGGCTTAATAGCAGCCGTTGGAGCTTTGCAGAGGCAGGAGTCATGTTAATGTGTAAGCCACAGGGAAGTTTAGAGCTGTAAGGTCCTATGTGCAAAGCATTTCTGAGCTAAACTGCTGGTGTCACCCCGCCTGGTTGCTCTGCCCTCTGAGGAAAATGACTGTAAGGGCTGCTGCTCCTGTCCTCTGTCACCCAGGGTCCTCAGCTCACCTAGGCTGGATGAGACTGGCAAGTCATAGCCACTCTCACCACTTGCATTTCTTGGAGAGCATCGACTTTCCACCAAACCCTGGACAGCATCCCTCTGCTTTAACCCTCTTTCTGTCTCTGCTGTCCTGCTTTCTCTTCCTTCTGCTGAGGACAAGCCAGTTTTCTCTTCCTCTCTCTCTGATGTCTCTTCTCTCTTGCGGGTTTCAGTCAGCCCACTCTTCTCTCACTGAATGAGAAGTTCACACAAGCTTGCAGCATGGAGGGTTTTGTCATGAGAGGAGCACCGGCTGAGAGCAATATATGTTCTCCTGGCTGGGATGCCCCCAAGCAGCACCCTCTGAATTGCAGTGGCAAGTCAGGAGGAATGGCTGAAGGAGCCCCACAGACTATTTTTCTCTGCCTTAGGGAAATATTGAAATCTTAAACCTGAATATGAAGCCTGGGAACACCCTGAAGGTGAAGGGCAAAATATCTGCTGATACTGTTGGGTAAGTACAAAGAAACCACCTTGGCGTGCCAGGGTTGAAGGTGGGCTATGGAGGAAGGTGGTTTTCCAAGGTTGCCAGATACAAAATAGAACATTGTTATGCCACCGGTAACACTGATGGAGGAACTGGGTTCAGAGATGTGTGTTGGATCTCAAGTCTTCCAAGACCCTCTCCTGTCCATGCATATGACTTTCCTCATGCTCATTTATAGCTTCAGCATCAATCTTGGCTGCAGCTCAAGAGATCTGGCATTTCACTTCAATCCCCGCTTCAATGAGTCTGTCATCGTCTGTAACTCCAAGTGCTCCGATTCCTGGCAGACGGAGCATCGTGACCGCCACCTCCCTTTCTTCAGGGGCTGCACTGTCAAGGTGAGGGTGCCAGCATGGCCTTATGGGGTGTGTGTGGTGTGGGGGGTATGGGGTGTGAGGGGAAGGCCCTGGTTAGCAGATTCCCATACCATGGTTTTCCCAGTCCCACCCAATACCTCCTGCTCCCTCACCATGGCCTCTCTTCTGGGTTTTTGGTCCTGATTGCCATTTCCACTCCTCTTTCAAAACTGCAATGATGTTTCTGGGAATTTTAAGTGAGTTGTGTCTGTCTCATGCTTTGTAAGTACTTCCTGGCCCCTCCATCTGCCCAGCAGGTGAGTGTACCTGGGGCATGTATGAAAGTAAAGGCAGTCTCCAAGAAGCAGGGTTTTGCTGCTGTTAACCTTCTTTCTCTCCCTCCTTCCTATGTAAACACAGGCTTTAAGGCAACCCCGAGTTTGGAGCAATGTCCAAAAGCCTCTCCCTGAACTCTTCTGTCCTAATTACTCCTGGATCCATGCTGCCAATCTGTCCTTTCTCTCTTCCTGCCAGGGATGCTGTCCTAGTTGCTGCCTCACCTTATCTGATGTCCCAAATCACTAACAGATCTGCATTTAGGAGTAGTCCAGTTGCTATAGCTGTGGAGAGAAAGCTTGTTTCCTCAGACAGAACTAGCTCTTGGAGAAGGGGTAGTGAGGTGACAGCTTTGGGGAACATTGCCTTTAGTTTTCAATTACCAGTGATGCATTCTTGTCCTGTCTGCTTGTGCATGTTTATCAGCAAAGCTCCTTTCTCTGAGTCCTGGTGAGCTGCTGAGCATTGGGGGGGTCAGGTTTATTCTGCCCTGTTCAAAGGAGAACGATGGCGTACACATTCCATATGCTCTGTGAATACATGTAAAGACATACCTGGGTTTAGCTGCTCTGAGTTTACAGTCTGAGTAGCTGAAACAGCCTCAGGAGAGATCCTGTTCCCAGTCATAGGATCCTGTTCCCAGTCATAGTCTGTATTCTTGCTTAGACCCTTGATATCAACTGCTCACTTCCTGAATCACCCTCACCTCAACCCGCAGCACCTTGCTTAAGGTTGTAGAGGACAGGTCTGAGCCTCTTATGTAACAGTCAGGCCTTTTGCCTAAATGCTGAGCTCTGAATACCCTCCTTGCCCCCAATTCCTGCCCTTCTTTCTCTTTTTTCTCCCAGTTCTTCATTGAAATGCTGTCAGACAAATTCCGTGTGAAACTGCCGGATGGTCACGAAGTGTGCTTCCCCAACCGGCACGGCTACCGCAATATCAACTACATAAGCATCATGGGAGGCCTCAAGATCATCTCCTTCAAGCTGAGCTGATGGGCACTGCTTCCTAGCTCTAATAAAAACCCAAGCCAGTGGAAGACTGCTTGTTCCAGCTGCTTTGTCTTCTGTGAGAGCTGTGCGTCCCTGTCCAAGCCCCTGACAAAGCCCAAGGTTCTCCCACCAATAGGAAAGAAGGCATTGTTGGACAATGCCAGGTACCCTCCAGGTCAGAACAGGCTGTGGGGTTGAAGGGGTTGCAGGTAGGCCAAAGCAGACTGTAGGTGGGGTCCAGGATGAGGACACTCTATGATTGCTGGGGAAATGGTTGTGTAATCTTTTCACAAAGCTCCATCACTTCCTGCAGCCCAGCTTTCCGGAAGGGGAGATGGTGAAATGGGAAGGAAGGCATAAATGTAAATGAAGGGCATTTGATGTGGCATTAGGTGCTACAAAAGTGCATCATTATAAGGTGGCATAGGTGACAGCACAGGTGTGCCCCCAGCCAGCATTCCTGCCATAGATAAGGGATTGTCTCCAACTTTCCCTTCCAGCTCACCTCACTTATCTGCTGGCACATTCCAGTCAGGTTAGCCATTACTCTGACATTCCCACAGATGATCCTACTCATCGAAAATGAGGCAGTGGGATTTGGGCTGAGCTATGTGCCTCAGTACCTCCTTGCACAGGACTACAGGCAAATAGTCCCAATTATGACATGCTGCTGCTCTAATTGAAAAATATCTCACCAGCCCAAAAGTGAGACTGATGTGTGACAGCAAACATTGGGACACTTCAGGCTGGGTGGGAGGAGGGCAGAGTAGAAGAGCATCTTACAGAGAGCCTGGTCCAAGGCAAGGTGTCAGTGTCCTTGCCCTCCCTCTCCACTTCCTCACTGCCTCAGATGGAGGGATTGGTGGCTGGGGCTCCAGCAGCCATAGCAAGGAAGACAATCAGGTCACAGCAGCCAAGGGGACGCACCAGAGAAGTTAGTATCAAAACTGTTTTAATGAGGACAATAATAAGTGCATGGGATACAGAAGAGAGGCAGAAAGGATAATTCCACAGATATGGGTCTTTGGTCTTGTGTTATGGTCCGGGAAGCAGAGGGCAGAGGAGAGCTCATCCTGAGAGCCCAGGTCCCCACCCTGGAAGGTGCAAGGGAGAATAAGGCTGATCCTGCTGGCTGCCAGTGGCCAGACCTGGGGACTTCCTGAAGCTGGTGCCTGCCCTGGTTTGCTGCTGCTGGCTGGCATGGGGCAGCCCCTTGGGGAGGCTGGGGAACATGGGCTTGCCCTTAACCTTGGTGGTCTGGCTGCAAGTGGCACTTCCATGTGCAGCACGTGCGCACCCTGCAGCTCTTTATCCCGCTCTGAAGAGCTTCCTGGCAGAAGCAGCTGCGTGGCGGGTGAGCTGCGTGGGAGCAGAGTCCTGCAGCCATGGCCCAGCATCTCCTCCCACTGCACACGCCCTCCTGTCCCAGAGAACAAGGGGGGTCCTGTGAGGGTCCCTCCGCTGACCTCAGCCCCCGAGCACGCCGGCTCCACACCACGGCACAAAGGCGCTTCTATGAGGGCTGGTTTGCACACGGGCCAGCGTGGGGGACAGCTCATTCCAGGGCGGCTGTGTCACCAGGGCCACTCGGCAAGGGACATCAGCCATTACCCTCGGGAAGGGGTGTGCTGCAAAGAGGGGTGTGTGTGTGGGGAATGGGCAGGGAGACAAGGATGGAGACACAAACTGTGCCACCACCACGAGGATGGTGGCACAAACTGAGTGGCTGCAGAGCAATCTCCTTGTTCTGAGGCAGGGGGAAAATAAAGGAATCAGTGACAATATCTTTTAGGGCCTGTACTGCAGAATTTGGTGACCTGACAACCTGCCTTTGCCACCAGTCAGCCAAGAAGTTTCTCCCCTCTCAATTGCTGAGGGGAGTGGGGGTCAGGAAGGAAGCAGTCCTAAGCGGTGCCCAGCAGCAGGAGGCAAGTGAAAACATTCCTGATTATTTCTGTGCGTGCTGTCACCTCCTGAACACCGAGCACGCAGCTTTTTGGGGAGGGCAGGGGAAAAGAGAAAGCTCAGCTCTGTGGGGTTTGCCTGCCCTTGGGACCCCAGCTGACATTCCCCTGTTGATAGATGTGCTATTCTGAAGGGTCTTGCACCAGCTGGAGCTGGGGAAACCCCATCCCCTAAGTGCCAGAGCTATCAGTGGGAATATCTCTGGGGAGGCATGCGTGCCATTGCAGAGGATGGTTGTGGACATCAGTGGAAGGATGGAGTATTTCCCCAGACATGCTGGTGGAGCTAGGCTAAAGGTTGAGAGAGAGGGTTCTGGGGAGAATGGGATGGGCTAGGAAGGATTGGGGGTTCCTTTGGCACATGGGAATGTTCCTTTGATGTCTAATGGCCATGAGGCTGGAGAAGGGGTGCTATGCCTGGCTCTGTGGAGCGCACTGGCCCTCTGCAGCAGCCTGGCCCAGCCCCAGGGGGCCCCCCAGGACATGGGCTCTCCTCCTTCCCTCCCCGGCCTGCCCAGTGCCCCCACTTGGCAAGGAGGTCACCCACTGGGTCTGCTGGTGACACCGGCACCAGCGGGCGGGGCACAGGGAGGAGGGCAAAGACCCTGGCACCAGTGTCTCTGGTGGGGCCTCTGATGGGCAGGATGGCTGTTCACACCTTGACTTCATCGTCCTCTTCCTCCTCCTCATCGGCATACTCGAAGGAATTGCTGCGGCCCCCTCGGGCACCGCTGTAGCTTTCCTGCAGGCTGGAGAGCTTGGTCTCCTCCTCCTCCTCTCCTTGGCTCCAGCTGGCCTCAGGGGACCGGCTCTCCCTTGTCACTTGTGACCCCCACAAGCTGCTGCTGGGGCTCTCCCACGGGGCCTGTGTCCGGGCCTGCCGGGGACCCTCACCCTTCTCCGAGCTCCGTGGGGTGCTGGTCCCACCGTAGTGGCGGGCCAGGACCTGGGTTGCTCGGTCGAATTCTCCAGCCTCAATGGTGCAGTCGTTCCAGTGGCCTTGCCACGGGGACCCTCTGGACACCGCCCCTGGCCCCGAAGCCCAGACAGAGTTCGCTCCAGCGCCTTCAATGGCACGTGCCTCTCCGTTGGCATGGACCGACAGGCCTGGCAGTGAGCTGGCCCCTGACACGTTGCTCTGCCTGGAGTGGTCCCAGAAGCTGGATGCTGCCTTGTCCTCTTCCTGGGATGCACGCACTGCTGCAGGGACCCTGTCCTTGGTCCCCTCTTCACACAGGAGGTGTGGGCCATCCTCCCCCACCTCGCTGCCATTGGTTTCAGAGAAGCTCATCATCTGGAGGAGCTCACTCATCAGGGAGGGCCCCAGGTCTAGGCGGAAGGACAGCAGGGAGTCGGAGCGATCCAGCTCATCTTCCCCAGGACAGGTGCTCTCTTGGGCCTTTTCCAAGCGAGGGACACGAGGGATGGTGCAAAATCCAGACTCCAGCCCTGTGAGGCAGAAGGTATGGCTGGTGAGGGAACAAGCCTGACTTACTTCTGCAGGGGAAAAGGGACACTGCTGACAAAGTGGCTCAAGTCATGCTCCTGTCAGTGGCACTGGCCTCTAAAGGACAGGTCAGTGTCTCTGTGGACATCCCCAAAGCCCATTGTTACAGCAGAGGGTCTCCAGGTGGGCTCTGGGCTCGGTAAGATGGCAGTGGGGGCTGAGCCAGGCAGGTGAGACCAGGAGATGGCAGCATTGCCTCAGCCTGCCTTTCCCTTGGAGCCCGGCCAGCTCCCCCGGCTGCTGCAGGCACCCCAGATACAACCCCCACCCTGAGACCTCCTGCTCCAGACCTCCCTCCCTGGGGAAAAGCTGAGCACAGCCCAGTGCTGTGAGGCTGGAGAGGAGCTACACAGATGTCCTGTCCCGTCCTTCCCACAACCCTTCCCCAAAGGGCACCCTGGCTGGCAGGGAGGGATGTGGACACGATGGAGAAGGGTGGATGGAATCCCTAAGGAGCAGCACATGGAGATGTAGAGGTTGGCACAGCTAAGGGCAGGGTTAGACCACCTGTGTGGGGGTGGGGAAGGACATGCTGTGGGTCCCCTTGACCTCACAACCTTGGAGTGGGAATTGCTCCACTGTCCCAGCACCTTTTTGGCTTCCTCAGGGAAGCTGCTCAAGTGAAAGGTGTAGGGCTGAGGGTAGATGGGGGGTGCTCCCTTACAGCTACTGCACACAGGCTGCCAGCTGCCTGGGGCTACAGGAGAGGGGCAGAAACAGAGAAACCATCCCTTCCCCGCTTTGAGGGACACCCTGCGAGGAGACCTTCCAAGGGCAGGAGCAAGGACCATGGTTCAGTGCCAGGTTAGGTTTATCTGCTTGGAGGGATTGTCAAGACCGGGCAGTCTTAAATATCCCATCTCTCCTTCAAACCCTAAGTATCTCACTGGAGAGGAAACTGAGGCTGGAGCAATGGAGAAGGGCTGCAGAGGATGCTCAGTGCCTGGGCACCCGCCTCTGCCTCGCGCTTCACTCACCGTAGGCCTGGTGTGTTTTGGAGAAGCTGTTGGAGGCACTTTTGAAGGAGAACTTGCTGGTCAGGCCCCGGCCGCCGCTGTCCCCATCATACATGGCCTCATTGAGCTGCGGCAGCGAGACGGCGTTCTTGATGATGGGCGAGACGGCCGGGGGCGCGGGCGAGGCCCCCACCTGGCCCCCGCTGCCCCGTCTCTTCAGCGGGCTCCGGCGGACGTGCCGCAGCGTCCGGGCGAAGAAGTTGTTGGGTTTGGCCGTGTCGGCCCCGCCGTGGTTGCTAAGGAAAGAGGTGTCCCCGAAGACGTCCCCTCCGCGCCCCACATGCATGGTGTGCCGGAAGTCGCCCAGCGGCGGGCTGATCATGTCCGGCGTCAGCTCCGACTTCAGCCGCCGCTTGCCGTGGGAGCCTGACACCCAGCTCAGCACCGGCAGCTTCCCCAGGCTCATGTTGCACCCTTCGCCCTGCCTTTGAAAAAGCTCCAAAAATCAGCCCTCACCAGGCTTCCGGCACTGGGGGGGTCTGTCACATCCCCAGCCTCCCCACTACTTCTGCTCCGATGCTCTTGGGGTGACAGTGCATGTCGCTTCGGCTTTCGGCAGTTTCCCGCTTCCCTGCACTACGTCGTGCTCATGAAATCACCCCCAGAGCGTACGTCCTCAGTGGTGAGGACAGTGGTGGCACGCAGATGTCCCCAGGGGGTGTCTGGGTCACCCCCGTTCTGCAGAGGTCACCGGAAGCTGTGTCTGGTCGTGGACTTAGAGGTTAATCCACTGTCTTCTTCTGCTGCTGGGTGAGTGGGAGCCAGTCACGGATGGGGCAGCAGGCAACGAAGAGAGCTTCAGGTGGACCGGCAGGGCAAGAGCATCGGTCCCCTTATTGGCCACCTAAACAAGGCAAGAGGAACAGTGAAGCCCTTGGACAGGATTTTCCCAATCCCACTGGCTGTATCCACAGAGCTGCCTGAGGAGGTTGAAGGCGGTGCATAAGGCAGTGGCGAGCTTGCTACTGGCTGCCCCTTTATCTGGCCCTTCTCCTGGGGAGGAATAAAAAGGCTTTCCTCCAAAAACATGTGTCTCCCTCACCTTGCTGACCTACCTCAATAGGCGTTAGTTTCCCGCCTGCAAAGCAGCTTTGCCAGACCCACGCCACAACACAGGCTGAGGATTTCCCTCCGAGGCAGAACCTCCTCCCAGAGCAATGCCCTGCTTGGCTGCCCCAGCTCCTGGGGCGAGAAACCTCTCCCTCCTTTTTGCTATTCAGATGAACCCTTGAGGAGAGGGTGAGGCCTGGGGCCCATGTGCTTCTCAGGGAGGAGTGGTGGGAAGCAAAAAGGCAATATTTGTATATTGCTTTGTTTGTCCTTCACTGGCTGGGTCCCGTGTGCTGGGCAGACATGTTGGAGAAGCATGGGAGTTGGCAGTGTGGGGAGGGCAGCTGCTCTGGAGACGGGAAACTGAGGCACGGCGAGGGAGGTAATTGCCTGAGGCTGGAGGAGAAAGTGGGGTCCCTCCACTCAGGCAGGGACTCCCAGAGGCACTGAGGGGCAGGCAGGAAGCAGCAGCTGGATGCACGGCAGGGTGATGACCTCCCAGTCAGCGGGGAGGACTCTCGGATCAGCAGATCCCCTGCTGGTGTGCATAGCAAGTAGGAGAGGGTGGGTTGGGGAAAGGAGAGGATTCGGTGCCTCTCAGAGTGTCCGTGGCCTGGGCAGCCAGCTGGGGACGTACCCTTCCCTGGGCTCAGTTCTGTGGCATCAGGACAGAGCCGAGTCCTGCAGCAGGGCTGGCTGTGGAGGACAGCATGCCAAGAGGTGACGCAGGAGCCTCACATCTCCATGTGCTGGGACCCCCACTGCTGCATGGCTTCCCCTGCCTTCCCCATGCCTCTCCTGCTTCTCCATGCATCGCCTTGGAGCAGACAGGCAGTGCCAGGATGGCAAAGGCTCTGGAGAAGGGGAGTCCTGGACATGAAATTGCTTTCCTGGCTGACTAGATGCATTTTTGCTTTGCCCTGGCCGTGTTTGCTCACCCGGGGCCTCTCTTATCTGCCAGGGGTTAATGACTGGGGAAGGGAAAACAAACCTCCCCCAGCAGCGCCCAGCACCATTGGCTGCCTCCTCAGGGTGGCAGTGGCCTCCTGGGGTGGCAGTGGCTGGTGGCAGCAGGGACAGAATGGTGGCAGGTTGGGTTCCTGCTGGCCCCCAGCTCATGCAGCTCATGTCTTCCTCCTGCCCACAGAGGCCAGGCAGGGCTGCCTTGCAGCCAGGACAGACCAGGCACGTGGCAGATTTGGGGTGAGGGGATAACTGGGGAGCTATTTCCTTTCCGTGGCAGAAGCCCACCCATAGCCATTGGGTCAGGGCTCTCCTGGAGTGCAAAGGAAACTACTGGGCTGGTCCCTGCAGCACAACCGGGCTCTTGGGACCACAGGGAGAGAGATGCAACTGCATTTCTGAGCTGTCCCCAGGTATTCCAAGGAAAGCACATGACTCTGGGAGAGGGGATTAGCTGAGCTACAGCACTCAAGTTTTCCCTTTCCTCTGCACATTGGAGCCCCTGAGAAACCCAGAGTGGGGACTGTCCCCTTTAGCATGCACTGCACCAGCCACGGCTACTCCTACCCCCACCCCAGATCCCCCCACAACACAGCTGTCCACAGCCACCCCTACGGGGGACGCCACACCTTGGGATGGGGTGGGGAGGCAAGGAAAAGGGGGAATGTGGGAGGAGAGCATCCCCTTGTTCCCCATCTGGACAACTATTGAGTGAGGGAGTGGGGTGGAGGAAAGTGTTCCTTGTCTCTTGGTCACCACAGGGAAGCAAGGCAGCAACTCCTGGCCCCTGGCTCTCCTTGCCTGCTGGCAGGCAGCAAGCGCTGGGAAGAGGAGGGAGGGAGAGAGTGAGGGAGGGAGGGAGTGAAGCAGCTGGTGCCCAACCCTACCTGGATGGCAGGTTTCTGGCAGGCCTGTTGGGCTTTTCCTCCTTCCAATCTCTCCCCTTTCTCTTCTTTCCTTCTGCCCCTGGTGTGGCTCCCTGCCTCCCCTGAGCCCTCCCCGTTACCCGAACAGACTCCTCCAGGCCAGGGAAACTCGTGATTCTGCGGGCAAAGGGTGACCTGTGTGCTGTCCTTTCCTCCACTGGGCAAAGGGACCCCTCTGCGTGGCCACCTCTCTGTCCGGGTGCCACCGCTTCCATCTGGCAGCCCTTGGTGCTCACCAGCTCCTGGCACAGCAAGCTCACAGCCCACCACGACCTCCCCTTCCCTGGCATACCCTCTCTGGCTCCCTTCTTGCCTCCTCTGGGAAGCCCCCTGCCTTCCAAGACCCACTGCCAGCACCTCCTCCTCCTCCTCCCAGCCTGGCCTCCCCCGTTTCCCCCCGAGTTCAGCTGGTTACCACTGGTTTTCCACTAGCTGGGAATGGCCAGAGCTGTTCTGCTTGCTGGGAAGAGCGGAAACCAGAAAGGGGGGGAAAATAATCCAGATGTCTAGTTGGAAGGAGCTGCTGAAAGCAGCCTCTTCCCTCCCCCAAAGGGGACATACTGCAAAAGAGAGGGAGAAATTTGGGGTGGTCTCAACAGCAGGAAGAGCGGGTGGAAATGGCTGTGGGTGGCCAGGAAGGCTTTCCCAGCCTTCCTGAGTGATGAGAAACCTCCCTTTCCCCGAAGGAAGGGAGGCAGAGTTCCCCTGTTGGGTGACTGCTTTGGGATGAGGAAAGGCAGCAGGGACAGGCTTTTGGCGAAGGGGGAAAGGGGCTTGGCTGGCTGGGTTGGGGCTCTTTCAGCCTCCCTGGAGCAGTGCCGGGCAGTAGGCAGACGCCTAAATCTGACTCCTGTGCTGCTGGCTGCTATATATACACAGTGATATCTCTGTATAACAAGGATATTTTTCCAAGCAGACATTCTGGGACATAGAGGGAGGCCGGAGCTATGGAGGTGGGCAGTTTCCAGCCATCCCCTCCCTGCCCGCTTGTGAAAAAGGGCCCCCTTTCTTCCTCCACACCCCTAAAATCGAGGTGCCGAGAGCCTGTGGGGCTGTGAGGGGTATCCAGAGCTAGGTCTGGGAGACAGGCGTCCTGCCTTCCCCCATCAGTGGGACCCTCTTCCCACTCCCTTTCCTTCCCGCCTCTGCCCCCGTCCCGTGTCCCCTCTCCTCGCTCCCAGTTTCCTGTTGCATTCCTGCTTTCTGCTCCCTTTATTTTTACCATCCTTCCCGTCTCTATCGCCTTGCCACCCCTCCCGCTTCTCCCCTCTCCAAACACCCTCTCCAAACACCCCCTCCACCCTTTTCCTTCTTGTCCCAACACCCCCCTGCCCCCAGCTCTACAAACTGATGAATCAAAACTTTCAGGATTTACCTCTTTCCAACCAGGGCTATTATTTTTTCCCCGTCCTCCAGACGAAAAGTTGCGAGACACTCTCCGCAGGCCCCTGTAACTTGTTCCAAGGATTACCGGTGCTGTGTTCCGGAGTGGAGTGGGGGAGAAAGGGGGGGCCCTGCCCCCTCCTTTTCCCACGGCTGTCCCCCCAAGGCTGGCTCTCCCAGGCTGACGCCCTGATGCCACGGGAGAGAGGGAGCGAAGCTGGCGGGGAGGGGACGTGGGAAGGAGGAGGGCGGGCTGCAGCACTGCCGAGCCAATCCTCGACTCGGCAAGGAGACCAGAGAAAATGAGATTTATTCCAACTATCCAGGACAGAAAACTTCAGGAACTTCTCTGCCGCTCCCCTCCTCCTCCCCGCTTCCCCGGTGCCATTTCCCGTCTGCCGGCATTGGCTGCCTCCCGCTCCCGGGTGCCGGCTCCGGTGGGTTTGGGGGAAGGGGAAGGCCAGGTTGCTGTCTAAGCCGGTTAGAGGAGCCCGGCTGCAGGGCAAAGGAAAGGGGCTTGAACCGTGTGTGTGTGTGTGTGTGTGTGTGTGTGTGTGTGTGTGTGTGTGTGTGAGACCCCTCCGGTACCACACAGGGTCCCCGCTCCCATACTGGTTAGGAAGTTCCCAGGGGAGTAGCACTGCCGGCCAGGACTGGGGTCTGCGGGTGGGTGGTCGCGGCAGGAGCTGTGGTAGTGCTGAGTTGGGCGAGAGCAGGATGACAGCCTCGCCAAAGGCCACGTGGGCCACGCTGGTGTTTGTTACAGGGTCAGGACAAGCGCCATACCGGCGGCAGTGTGTCAGACCGGGCTGAGGGGGTGGCAGCGGATAAATGCAAGGAGGTGCTCTTTGGTGGCACCAGGGAGAGCTTCTGCCCACATGTGGGACGCCACATCGCTCTGGCATCGTGTGTTATCCCTTGATGGTCGCAGGGCAGAAGACCCTATCAGTGCCAATGAGGGGCAACCTGCTGGTGGGTGTAGCATCGTCAGTGCCATCGGTGACCCTCATGGCCTTCAGGCTTAGCTTGGTGGCTCTGCCGGGGACCACTTGGCCACACACAAGCACCTATTCAGGGCCCTGTTGAGGAGAAGGGAGGTGTCTCTGCTGGTGAAGGCGAGACAAGACTTGTTGGGGTTAAGTAGGGCTTGGCTGAAGGGATGACAAGATGTCTGCAGAGATGTCAAAATGGAGCCTGGCCGTTCACTGCGCTCGGGTGGCTTGTGCTGGGGTGCCCAGGCAGGAGCGCCTTATTGCTCAGAGGTTTGCTAAGCAGCAGCAGTAGGGTTTGGCACTGTTCTCCAGCTTCTCTTCTGCGAAATGGAAGTAGGAGTTTCTGCCTTCTGTGGAAGTTTCCTCCATTAGGAATTAAGACCGTATGTGCATGTTGGTGGTACTTTAAGTGGGTCTATGTCTTGGAGGAAGATGGAAGCCTAGCTCTGACAGGAGATGAGCTCTGCCATCAGTGAGGAAAGGAGGAGAAATCGTGACATGCATCCTCCTGGCTTACCAGGAGTATGGTAGGTATTCCTTCTCCTAGGTCCTGCTCAGTGGAAGCTAATGGGGGTGGTGGGAGAGGCAGGAAAAGATGCTTTCTTTGGGTCTCCTCCCTCTGCACGGCCTGCCAGGACATTTCCCCCCACCCTGCCTGAGGGGCTCTCCCTCACCCCCATCCCTGCGCCCTGCAGCAGAGGCTGTGTCAGGAAGCAGAGCCTGGGCGATGGCAGCCACCTCCACAGGGGAATGCAGAACAAATCTTTTCCAGATGGGACAGGGGCCACGTTCCGCTTCTTGCAGGGCGGCCGGCTCTCCACTGCCTCCTTCTCACTCCTGCTCCAAGCATCTCTGTGCTCCGGGCCAGGATGGGCTTCACTTCCCGGAAAGTATCTGGAAATGCCTTCTCTTCAGCATCCTTCCCCAAACCTGTGATCTTGTAGCCATGCCAGCCAAGCTCTGTTTTGTACTTCTAGGTCTAGCACTGAAGTGCTTTGGTGACCTCAGGGGTCAGGTATGTGCCAGTTCTGGGTCTCAGTACTCATCCTGGCCTCTTGCTGCTCGGTTACACCCCCTTCTTTCATATACAACACCCTGGAAAGTCAATCCGTGCAATCCTGCTTCTCAGCCTATTTATCCACCTCAGCTGATAAATGAGAGGTGGCTGTGAGGCTGAACAGTGCTGCACAGTCACTGCACTATCCTGGGCAGGAGCTTATGCCTGGACCCCTCCCAGCCCAGCTACCTCATTTACCTTCAGTCACCCCAACCTTTCATCCCATCTGTAACCCTCAGCCCCAGGCAGCAGTACCAGTCTCATCATTACAGAGAGACCGGCTACTGGGCTTATCATGGAGCAGACAAGTGGCCCAGCAGCTTTCCCAGGTGAGGATTTGCTTTGCCTACCACAACATCAAAGACAGGGCTGTGCAAATTGTATCCCCCTCATCTTCCCAGCACTCATCCCTCCAACACAGGGTTGACGTCTTATGGGTGACTGAATGTGATGGGCAGGGAGAGAGGAGTGGATGGATGTGGGGGGGCTGAAGTCTCTACCCCACACTTCTTGGTGCTCAGTCCTTCGTCCTGTCTCACTTTGCAGTGCCTTCCGCTCGCAGACTCGATGCCTGAAGGAGGCTGATATGGGACTCCCTTCCAGTCAAGAAAGATCCCTCTACTCCCTTTCCCCAGTGCCTGGGAGAAGCAAAGGGAAGGTGATGAGAGCATCCCGGCTTGTGATAGGGTGCTCACCCATGGGTTTATATTCCCTGCCATTTCAGCTTGCTGCCTTCCCACCTGCCCTCCTTCCCAGGGAAATTTCTAGGGATGGACCTCCAAGAGCACAACAGTGCTGGAAACTTCCTGAAGAGAGAGGGCAGGCAGGGGGCTCGGTGGGAAGGGGGTGCCTTGCTCAGTGCACAAGAAGCAGATATCCTGTTGCTGCCCAGGGTCTCTGGCTCATATTTCCTCATTAACTGAAAGTGCTGCTCGTTTGCAGGTGACTTCCAGATGTTTCCATTCTTCTTTCTGTGCAGAGGGGCTGTGAGGGCACATACCACATGGGTATGGGGATTACTGCCATCAGCGGGGTGGGGGACAGAACCCTGCCACGATGGGGATGGGGGTGCAGAGAGCTCCCTTGCCCCACCAGGCATGGTTTCATCCAGCTCCCCCTCACCCTGGTGCTGTCAGGTCCTTCCTCCCTGCTCCCAGCCCATGGCCCTCGGTGCTGCCTCCAGTCTGTGTCTTGCTGCCCTGGGGATGAGCTGAAGGCAAAGCCGGTTTTAGGGTGAGCAAGCCAGAGTGGTGGCAGGAGGTGACACCCTGAGGCAAGGGATAGGTGTAAGCACTCAGCGTCTTGCCAAGAGCATCCCTGGTCGGATGCCAGCTCTGGCTTTGTAGGCACTGGGTCCCTCATGCCCTATAGTTTCTCCACTGGGGCGATTTCACCTCTGGCTGAATCCCCAGATGTGCTCGGCCAGGCTCAACCCATTTTTGTGCCTGTGCTGCGAGTTCCCCACACTGCCTGCTGCCTGTGAGATAACCAGGGAAAGGGGCTGGAGCGGTCTGGTTCCCCGAATCCTTGTGTTGCACTGGGGAAGGAAAGCAGGGAGATTGTGGTGAGCGCCACCAGGCAGGCAGCAGCATTGGGTTAGACCCACTCATGCTAGAAGTGGAGTGGATAACCCCGTCAACACCCACTTCTAACTTTCCCCATCAACTCCTCCCCTCCCCTGGAGCAGTGGGAGGCCGAAGGAATGGGACTGATCACGAAGGAATGGGACTGACCATGTCCTGCTTGTGGCATTTGCAAAGGGGGGAGTGTGTGCTTTTCCCCTGGGAGCAGGGCTGGGAACTCAAAGCCTCGGGGTTTGCCAAAGCCCAGGAGGAGGTACGGATGAGTTCCCAGGCTTGCTGGCGGGCTGCCTCCCTCCCTCTGCCCATCTCCTCCTATCCCAAATATTTTCATCTTTCCTCCTCCCCCCACACTCCCCTGCTTCCTCCTGGTATGCTATTCCTGTTGGCCAGGGATGTGGGGTGCTGGAGGGCTGCTGTGGGTGTTGTGGGGTGTGGTTGGGTGTGAGGATGGAGGGACAGACCCCAGGACAGACCCTGATCTATGCTTTCCCTCCAAGTTTTACATGGGCACAGAGGAGAGGGAAGGGGGGTTTGGGACATAGCTGGGAGGGGGAGGGAGGATGTTGCATAAACCAGAAGTAATCCAGGAACAGCTGCCTGTGGCCTGGAAACACTTCTGTGATTCCACGTACTAGGAAAGGAGATGTAAATATAAAGATATATATTTATGTATGTAGACTACATCTCCCCAGAACAACCCCACCCTTGATTCTCCAGTTCTTTTTCACAGACCTTGTAAATGTCAGAGCAGGAGGGACTGGGGGGAGGGCTTAGGTATAAATTTGGTGCGTGGAGAAGAAGCTCTCTCTGTGCAAGGGGGGTCCATGAGTCTCTTTGCCCTTCCTCAAATGTGTTCCCTTGGCAGGACAAGGAGGGGGAGCACATCTACAGGAGTTTAAAGCCCATGTAGGCTGGAGGCAGCTGGGATGGAGGTTGTTAGGGTGGGGAGAGAAAGGAGGAGATGGTGAGGGTAAGGAGGGATGCAGAAGGGAAGGAGGGGATGGGGGTGAGTGGGAAACCCCGGGCCTTTGTGAGGAAAGAGCCTTTTGGAAATGAATTGCATGAGGAGGTGCAGAAAGGTGTTTTGGGGAAAGGAGGCACTGGGGGATTTCAAGGGAAGGGAAAAGGTCCCCAGAACTGGCGTGGCATGGGAGAAGGGACCATCAAGGAATGGGAGATGCATCCATAGAGCAGAGGGGGAGTGGCATGCAGGGGTGAGGAAGGGTACAATGTACAGAGAGAGGATATGGGGATATAGGGAATGGGGATTAAGAGATAAGTTGCCCATGTTGAGAGTGGGAGACCATGCTTGGGGAACCTGTTCTGGTCAAAGGGAAGAGGTGAAAGCCAGGGGAGTGGTTGGACACAAGGCCTGGACAACTCTTTTATCCTAATGATTTTGCCTGTCCATCCAGCCCATGTATTTTTGGCCCACGGAAGGAAGGGGGTGGGGATGCAGGAGCAGCTAAAAATAGGGGTGTCCCTGCCCATTCCCCCAAGGCGTCTGCCTGCCTGTGGGGTTGCTGCAAGGATCTGGAGGAGGGGAGCAGACCCAGCCTCCTCCCCATGGCGTCTGGCTCTGCTTTTGTTTGTCTCACAGCCCTACAGGGACAGGAAGAGGCTGCGGGGCTGGGGAACAATGGCTCATTCTCCGGGAGTCTGCGCCTGTGGAGGAGCGATAGGGGATACGGGATGGTGGCCAGAGGCACAACCTCCTAGCGCCACTGCTGCAGGGCTTCTGCCCCCAGGAGATGATGGGCTCCACTGGTGGGATGCAGGGGGACCTTCCCCAGCCCACCCCTCTTCCCCAGGTCCCTGTGCCCAGATGCAGAGGGGATGAGGGGCTGACTCACACTGGGTGCACTTTATAGAGGAGGCCAGGGAGGCAATGCTGCCAACCTGAAAAGTGCTGGGAACACGTTTCCAACCAGCACTGGGGAATGCACTGTCAGCCTCTCTCCAGCCTCTGAAACCTGGAGTGTGGCTGCAGCTTGCACCCCCCAGTGGGAATGTCTCCAGGTGGGGCTGGTAGGGATTTATCTGGGAGCTGTACCGTGCCTCTGTCCCAGCTGTCACTGTGCTCCCCGAGGCACTGCCAGTATTGGTGGAAGCTCCCTCCATGCTCTGTGCTCCCTGCTGTCTGGGAGATTGCCAGGGGGCATGGATATGTGTGCATGGTGGGGGGTGATAAATCCTTTTATCCTACCTCTTTCTTCTCCAGACCCTCCTTTTGAGGCAGTGTCTCTCCCGGATGTTAGATCTAACAGCATGGTGCTGGAAACTCCTCAGGGAGAGTCTCTCCCCACACTTCTTCTCCAGGCTGGCTAGGGATATGAGGAGGTGGTGTTAGCACCTGAGGTAGGGGAGAGGTTAGGACATATTTTGCAAAGATTGAGCAGGAAAGGGACAGAAGAACCTCCCTGATTCCAGCCCCCTTTTTTTTCAAGGTCTTGTATAGTTGGGGCTGAATGCTTGCCAGGGCTCCTCTTGTTTACTCAGCCGGGGAGCTGACACATCCAAGGTCTCTGCTGCCTCCACTTTCCCACATGCTGCTGGCCGGCACATTCCAGGGCAGAGTGGAGATCAGTGCAGAGGCATACCAGAGGTTTCCATCCGGGATGCCATCCCTCCTCCCTGCTCTCCCCAGGCATCCGGCACCTCTTGCCAGGTTGTGAAGAGCGGGCATCACATGTGCTCAGCATCCCGGGCCTTTAGAAGCCAGGGCTTGCACAGAGCCCAAGCGTGGATGGGAACCCCAGAGACAGGGATATGCCTCTTAACCTGAATTAGACGGAATGCCTTCAGCAAGACTGTCCTTCCTCCTGGTTCCCTCTGCAGGTCTCTGTCCTGTTCCCTGTCATGACCCATGGGAGATGTGTGGAGGAGTCAGGGATGCCTGTCTCACCTTAGTCCTCCCTAGAGGGACCTGGGGGAAAGGGCTAAAACTCACCCAGGCAATTTTAGGACGGGCACCTATTCCTGCAGCTGGGTTTAGCTTGCTGAGGGTTAATGGCACTGGGCTCTGCAGCTGCACCCTTCTGCAGGCACGGGCTCTGCTCCGTCCTGGGCAGCAGCCCAGACCTGGTGTGGCTGCCTTTGGTTTTGGGACAGAAGGCCACAAAGCTTTTAAAAATAAACGCCAGGAGATAAAGAAGGGTTTGGAGAGCTGGCTGCAGGGCGGGGGCGGGAGCATGGCCCTCGCCCTGTCATTTAGGCTGGACGCCTGTGTCCCAGCGCTGCTCCCACCTCCACCGGGGCTGCTGGCATCTTTGCCTCCTCCGACCTGGGGCTGCTGCAGGCAAAGGACCGCCGTGACCTTTCCTTTTCCCCCACACGCTGGCCCATAGAGGCCCCTTCACGCCCAGCCCCAGCGTCTGGAAGAAGGGGCCTCGTCTCCCTCCTCGGCTGCCAGAGGAAATGCGGAGCCTGGAGGTCAGGGGCCAGCCGGCAGCTCCTCCCGAGGGGGGCAAGCAGCCCAGCGCTGGGGCTTGCATCATGCCGGCGCCCGCCACAGAGCAGGGGAGGGGGGCAGAGCCCTGGAAGGGGGAGGGAGAGGGCCAGGCTCTTCCTGTTTATGTGACTACCAGACCCCCAAGAAAGGGAAAGGACTTGGAAAGCTCATTGCTCTTGGGCGGGCTCCAGCAGCGACTGTCTGTGGCTCTTAGCCCAGGGATTGCATCTATGTGGCAGGGGTGTGACTTCTTTGCAGGGGAAACGGGCATCCAGCTCCAGGGAGGGCTAGGATTGCATTCTGGGGCCTTGTGAAGCTCTGTTTAAGGGAGAGAATGTGGTTAGCTTCCTGGGAAGTGAGGGACAGCTCCTGCCACATGCCAGGCTTTGATTCCTCCCATGGTTGTCTCCGGCTGATGCTGGTCTCCGTGGGACGGTCTAAAAGGCAAAGACCCACTCAGGCCAAGACAAGGAGGTAGCTGGGTATTTTGGCTTTGGGATAGAGGAACGGGGAGCACTGGGAACGCCAGGCACGGAGGAGTGTTTAGGGGAGGGTGCCTGTTCAGCCATGATGGCTCCAGAACAGATCCCATACAGCCACCAGAAGGGCTGGAGACCTCCCATGTTATCTAGGGTCACATCCTGCAGGGCATCTGGTGTGGCTGTGGTGATATGTGGAGGAGGAAATGAGGTCCAAGATGCCGTGCTCTTTTCTTCACCTCTGGCACCATACTGCTCTGGCTTAGGTCACATCTGCACTGAATTTGTCATAGCTCAGCTTTGGTTTGTAGTCCTTGGCTCACGCTGAGCGTGGGTGGAGGAGTGCTCTGTGCCACCTCTGGTGGATGCCCTG